CCTGGAAAACCCATGGAGATAGGCGAGAAAATGCAAGTAACAGAGGGAGCTTCAGAGATGAACGATATGCTTGAGAAATGCAGAGCACTGAAGGTCCATCGCTCAAGGAGGAGTTTTTAATTCCAGTTTTGGAACCTTTACCCTTTTTTCTTCTTTGGGTATCCCTAATGAGCGTGCTTCTCAAGGAAACCTCTTACACCCTCAGGGGTCATACTGCCCACCCTGTAAGACATACCAGAAACTACTCCAGGTACCTCTGTTCCCCAACACCCCATAGGACATACCAGACAGTGCTCAAGCAGCTGCCTCTCATTCCAGCACAGACTCACCTGGCTTTTGGGCTCCTTCCCTATATGCCTCTTGACAATCTCTGCCGCTTTCTCAAACTCTCTGTTTCTGATGCACACAATAACAGCCTGCAGGAGAAAACAAAAAACATTTTCTCTGCTGACACTGAAATGACCATACTCTGTAGATTAACTTTGGAAAAGCATGTATGATCATCAAGCACAGCACAGGTAACAGCTTAGTACCAACTTACAAAGAAACTCTTCTACATTAACTGATGAAGAAGCACATGCACTGAAGATACACATTTGCAGACAAGTCAGCCCTAATAATAGTATACCTGAGGCAATTTTCACCGTCATTTACACAAGACCTTTGTAAAACAGAGTATTTATTCAAAAACACCTTACAGCTTCCTTAACCATTTCCCGAAGAGTTTCCATCGTCTCCTGAGTCACAGCGAATTCTGTATGAATAAGCTCCAGGACACCGATTGCTGATTCCAGAGGGGTGAGGTCCGACTCTTTATCAAAAGTGCAATCTGCAAGACCAGAGATGCTTGTTTGTGAGGGGTTCACAGATGTCTTACACAGACCTAGTCACTTGTTTGCTTGTTCCAATTGCGAATCCCACAGCTACCGAAGATGAAGGTGAGAAGGAACAGAAGGCTGTCTGCCAAGGGCTTAAACTGCAAGATCCACCCCTAGGCATAGGAAGCTACAGAAGCACCATGTGCCTATTAATAACTGACCCGGGGGAGTGTTGCAGAAGCAACGAGGCTGAGCCAAAGCCACAATCACAGAACTGTAGAATCATGGCATGGTTTGGGTTGGAAAGGACCTTAACATCATCCAGTTCCAATCCCCTGCCATAGGGACACCTCACACTAGACCATGCCACTCAAGGCTCTGCCCAGCCTGGCCTTGAACACTGCCAAGGATGGAGCATTCACCAGTTCTCTGGGCAACTCATTCCAGGGCCTCGCCACCTTCACAGTGAAGAACTTCTTCCTTACATGTAACCTAGATATGTACACTAATGTTGGTGTATGTCTGGCTAACAGGACAGACTGGGAGCTTGGGATCTAGGACACTGCTCCTGGCTACAGCAGCACGATGCAGACATGAAAAGTCATGCTCTTTAGACCCTTGCCTTCAGGGAAAAGCTACTACAGGTGAACAGCTTCAGCCCAGGCTTCTGCTCTGCGTAGAAACGCTTCTCCTGGTTGCTACTGGGACGGAGGCCAGGGACAATGGGCTGCAGGCTCAACCTGCGGATTCTCCCCCCAGGCACTACTGGAAGGTTTGGGGACGCACCAAGGTTCTCGCCTTCCTCGACCCGTGACAGGAACTGCATCAAGCGCAGCCTCCGGGCCATGATGTGGTCCTTCTCCAACGGGCGCACAAGCAGCGCTGCGGGACAAGGAGTAGGTTACACAGTGCAGGTACAACACGGTGCAGGTACAACACGGTGCGGCTCCGCCTCCCCCGCACCCGGCCCGGCCCGCCTCCCCCCTCAGCCCCAACGCACCCTGCATGACGTCGCGGAACTGTCGGAAGTCGCGGTTGCGCCCCGCGCGGTAGGCCGCCAAGGCCTGGTGAAAGTAGAACTGCAGGACGTGGCTGTTCACTACGGCCTCCTCGGGGAGCCCGCCCAGCGCCTCCATCGCGTTTGGCCGCGGCGCCCGCCGCCATTTCCCCACCATGGCGCCGGTCAGTGACGCACAAACCCTCCCGAACGAACGACGGGACCGAATCATCCCCTCCACTGCTCTAAAGCCGCGCACAGTCTGCTGGTACCGGCATGCATCGCGGCTACGCACCCGCGCCACGCCTACACAAGCGGCCGGTACCACGCCGCTCCCCGGCAGGGCTGGCGCCCTCTGTCGGGTGGGAGGTGTTATAAAAATTCTGTCTTGGCCATGATCTGATTTAATTAATTTTTTATTACAATTGATTAATATCGAGAGGCAATAAGCAAGCAGCGCTGGGTGCGCCGGGGAGTCTCCGCTGCACCCAAGATGCACACCAAGAGTTCTGGGGTACAGTCTCTTATACTCCTCGGTCTTGGGTTTCAGCCAATTCTGTCCTCTCCTTCATCCAAATACCAACGTGATTCTTTTTCATTGTTCTCCTCCTGTTGCTGGGATCTTATCTTTGGGTGATGAAACTTCTTAAGAAGTCATTGAATTCCTTGGCAATACATTAACACGGAATGTCTGTCACTGATGCAGAGGGTTGACCAATGTACAGGGGGGTTGTACAGGGGGGTTGGAGGGATTCGATTGCTTAAGCAAAGGTATTGTCTGTACCTATCATGCCTACTAAGCAGAACAAAAGCACTAGCTATTGATAAGGAAAAGCAGACACCTGGTTCTATTGACAAGGAAAAGCAGACACCTGATTCTACTGATAAGCACCTATTGATAGGGAAAAGCAGACCCCTGAATCTACTGTTAAGGGGGAGAAGCAGATGGTTGATGGCTGGGACCAAACCCGAAGGCCATACGTGAAGACTAAAAGGTGAAAAGTTCAAGAAGAGGAAGACTCATTTACTTCATCTTGAAGACCCCTACCCATGACCAGAGGGGGCACTGCGCAGGCGCAAAGGACCTTCTAGCTCACTGTAATACGAAGCGGGGATAGGACATGAATATGTATAGGCGTATGGTGCAACCTTATAAATGTAGAGGGAAACAACACTGGGGCACGCATGACTTTTGGAGGACCAATCCCCCGTGCGTCTTCAGCTGAATAAAGCATACCTACTTTACAACTTTAACGAGTTGTGGAGTCTATTCCGCTATCAGGACCTCCCTGAAATAGAAGAAATCCTTAACCAGGTGTATGTGGGAGTATGGGCATCTGAATTTCCAGGTAAGGTGAAAAATGCTTTGCCTGTTAAAGTAGAAATAAAAAGGGGGATCTGCCCAATTAGAATAAAATAATATCCAAAAGAAAAAACATTTATTAATTGAATGTGAATTGGAATATAATACTCCTATCTTGTTAGTGAAGAAATAAAGTTGCAGATTGGTTCAAGATCTCAGGAATCAACAAATTTATAGAGGATATTTATCCAGTAATAGCGAATCCATTTTCCTTATTGACTAAATTGAATCAGAAATGATTTGCCATCTTGGATTTAAGGACTCTTGCTTACCATTGGCCAAAGAAAACCGGAATTTGTTAGCTTTTGAATGGGAAAATCCTGATACAGTAAGGAAAACCCAATTAACTTGGACAGTATTATCTCAAGGGTTTTAAAACAGTCGTTTCAAAATCAGCATTGGAACTAGAATCATGGAAACCACCCATTCAGACAGGGACTCTGTTACAATATGTGGATGACCTATCAATTGCTACTGAAACAAGGGAAGAAAGTGTTCAGTGAATGGTGGGATTATTGAATTTTCTGGGAGTGAATGGTTATTGGATAACCAGACAAAGACCCAACTAATCCAAACTCGAGTTTCCTACCTAGGATATGAAATAACAGGAGGACAAAGAGAACTTGGAACTGCTAGAAGAGAAGCCATTTGTCAAACTCCACAACTGTCAACCATCAAGGTGCTCCATATGTTCCTGGGCATGACTGAATGATGCAGACTTTAGATCCATGATTATGGTGTTCCGGTAAGACCCCTAGATGAACTGTTAAACCCTTCTCTCTTTATTCATTAGAGGAGGGCTTTAGAAATTTAAAAGCAGAGCTAATGAGAGCTGCAGCTCTGACTTCTGGATATGACTAAATCCTTTTGGCTATATTCCTATGAAGAACAGGGAATAGCTTTGGTGGTCCTTAGTCAGAAACTAGGACCCTATAAGAGGGCAGTGGTGCATTTTTCAAAACAGCTGAATGAAGCGAGCAAAGAATGGCCTGGATGCCTAAGGTCTGTGACAGCAGTCGTCATGATTATTGAAGAGGTTTGCAAATTCACCTTGGGACAAAGGATTACTGTGCTAGTGTCCCATGTGGTATCAGCAGTCCTGGAGCAGAAAGAAGCCCACTCTTATGTTTTTTTTTTAAATACCAGGCCACCCTTGTGCAACATCATGATACAGAAATTGTGGTCACTAATGTTGTCAATCCAGAATCCTTTTGCAGAACAACCAACAGAACTATTAACACCCGACTGACGTGCCCTGCAATTGGCTAAGGACAAAAGGATAAATCTTTGGGCTGATTCCAAATATGCATTTGGTGTGGTCCATGCACAGTGTGCCATCTGGAAGAATGAGGACCTTTTGAACACACAGGAGAAACAGATTAAACATGCTACAGAAATTCTATGACTACTGAAAGCTGTTCAGCTACCTGAGGAAGTAGCTATTATGTATTGTTGAGGGCATCAACAAGGTGAATCTGATCAGGAAATTGGAAATAATTTGGCCAATTTGAAGCCAAACGAGCAGCTGAACAATCTAAACTCATTTCCTTAATCCCTGATGGCAAACTAACAATTGAGAAATCTAAACCTAGATATTCAAAGGAGGATAGAAAACTGATTGGAGATCTCAAAAGAGAGGAAAACAAAGAAGATTACGTTCAGATACCTGATGGGCGAATTATAATCCCCTATAACCAACTCTGGAAGCTAGGTCAGGAAGAACATAATAAAACTCATTGAGGCAGCAACTCTGTATAAATACTTAGATGAACAAATTGAAGGAAGGAATCTGTATAACATAGTTCAATTAGTGACAATGTCAGCTCTGTCTCAAGAATAACCCTAAGATTGAAAGTAGAAATCAAATTGGTACAACTGGGGAGGAAGTTATCTGGGACAGCACTGACAAATAATTTTTTCTGAATTATTGAGACCAATATTTGTTGGTGTTAATACTTTTTCAGGGTGGACAGAAGCATTCCCTTGTAGAATAAATAATGCAAGACAAGTAATTGGAACATTGTTAAACAGTGTAATACCTTGTTCTGGAGTACCAGAGGCAATTTCTTCTGACGAGGCTCACCCTTTAGTGCAAAATAGTTAAAAGAAATTAGCAAAAATTAGAAATTCATTGGCAACTACATGTTCCATACAGGCCAGTGGGCAAGTTGAAAAGATAATAAAACAACAGATTAGTAAAATATGTCAAGATACTGATACCAAGCCTTACCACTTGCTCTGTTAAGAATTTGAACTAAACCTCGGTCGAAAGAAGAGGCTATCCCATGTAAAATTTTATATGGAAGACAATATCAGTCCCAGTTTAAAGGAGATAACCTTCTCCCACTTCCAGAAGACTATCTCCTAGAGTTTCTGATCAATCTGGGAAAAGCAATTAGAAGAAATAAAAAAATACTGAGGACAAGAGCGAGAGGCATGGATTATTCGACTCACCCTTTTAGATCCAAAGACTGGGTTTATGTTAATAATTTTTTAGGAGATCCTCTATGGGAGAAGTGGAGCAGACCGTACCAGATAATACTGACCACCTTTACAGTGGTGAAGATAAAGGAACAACCTGCTTGATACGTTATTCAAGAATAAAGAAAGCACCAGAACCAGAGAAGACATGGTGGATTGAACCTTCAGGACGCTCGCATATGAAATTATGTCAGTCATAATTTGGATTTATGTGATAACTGACATACCACCTTGGGACTAATACCTGAAATTAATGCAGAATGTTACTAAAGTTGTTAATTGTAGTGACTGTTCGGTGTGTGCACAGTTGCCTGAATCAGGAGAAGATCAGGGCCTTCCATTAATTGGCATTCCAGTTTCCAACACTATCTCATGGAAAGATGTACTACACCAGGAAGCAGGAGACTATGTTTGTTTAAATGCCACAGCTGTAGGTCACTATTCACATTGCAATCACACTATTAATATAGATGGTATTGTGGTTCAGTGGTGGCCTGTTCCTGAAGGGAACGGATGGTATTGGTTAAGTGAGGGTTTAACCCTATTGCTGAACAGAGTACTGCATTTCATAGTTTTGTGAGATGGCTAATTCCACCTTTGGGAATAAGTGAATTAAAGAAGGCAATCATAAATATCACAGCAACCATAGGAAATAGAAAGTAAAACCATTGATATAATCCCAGTGGAACAAGAATCAATGAAAATTGCTGTTCCTGAAACAGATCTGGAGGAAATCTGGAAACAAACTAAAATATTTAATAAAATGGCCAAGGATGATACCTCCTGAGGATTGAAGAAGTTACCTTCATGGTTACCTGATCTCTCCTGGTTAAGGCAACTGGTTGCAGGAATATTAATATTAATTGTTTTAATATTGATTACTTGTGGTATAACGAAATTTTCTTCCTGGAATTATAAATGATCTATGATAAATTATGAAGATTGAAAAAGAAATGAAATGTAAATATAAAGTAGAAACAGGAAACTATTTCAAAAAGACTCTGGATGGTAATAGCTGTATATAAAACGTTGCAACAGAATTTTCAAAAGGACAGAAAAAGGGGTATAGACATTTGTTGGTACTAACAGACACCTTTTCAGGTTGGCCAGAAGCCTTTCCAACTAGAAGTGCACAAGCCAGGGAGGTAACAAAGATATTGTTACAGGATGGTTGTGAGGATTTCGAAGGTATGTGCTGCGTGAATTTATCTGACCATTCTGAATCAATTCATGATAAGCTGTGAAAATCGAAGGAAAATATGCAAGAGCTTACAATTGTTGGGGACAGATTGGATGAATGGCTAAATAACCTAGGAGTTACTGGATGG